GAGAGATGAGTGGTGCCCTTGTCTGAGAAAGGAGTGGGTGGAGGCTTGGCAATTTATGTCGTTTTTATGATAGCATTTCCTTTTCTTGAAGAAAACTGTTCTGTTGCTTCTTCACGTAACATGCAAAGTAGCTGGAAGAGTGAGAACTCCTCCACCCTTGAAGAAGACCCTCTTGAGTATATCTTAGCCTATTTTTGACTAGAAAAGGATGTAGGTCATGTTACTTTTCAGACTTAATTGAAATAGATTTAGAGATTAACATTTTGATTCACCACTTTAAGGATCAAAGATACTGTAAGAACAAAGAAAACAAAAAGCCAATTCTTTCAGATAAGCCAATATAGAATAAAACAAAAAGGCACTTCTTTCAAACAGGTAAGGTATTTGTTATGGTTTACAGAGTAATTTAAGATTAAAAAAACTATGATCTGTTAAAGCGATGCCTTAGTATGCCAGTGAGTTAATTTTGGCTGTAATGAGGTGATATAATGTGGATGCAGAATGCTGATGTATACAAGTTATAAATAATGTAGAAGCCCAGCTGTCGGACAGTAGAGGCTCCAGTGTGCTGTTCTGGACCTGTCTGCTGCAAAATGAGATCTTTTTCCCCTTGTGTTTGAAGCATGGAACAAATGTGATGAATATGTAGTTTTGCAGGGAAATGTTGAATTTTAGTGGTAACTACTCTAATTATAATTAGAGCCCCATTCTGGCTTCTTGGCTGCTTGAACAAATTGCTTTAAAATGCTGAGAAATATGTCTGCAAATACCTGGGATCATTAACTACAGAGTGCAGTCACTGTTGATGCCACCTCTTTCATTTGGATTTAAGGAATTATAATGAGGATAAAAATACCAATTTTTAGCGGAAGGTTTTAGATGCAGGAGCTGCAAGCATATTTGCTCTTTTCTAATATTTGAAGAGCTAACTAATGTGGAGCAGGGAAGGACAAGTTACTAGGCATGGGGCTGCTGGGAGGGGACGTGTTTTCCCCAGTGCTGGTTCTCAGAAGTTTCGAGCGTAGAGCCGAGATAGCAGGTTGCTGCATGATGCAGAGGTTTGAGACAGATTAGTTGAAGAAAAGGGTCTGTCATCTGTGGGAGGGAGATTAGCTGCAGCTCTGGGCCACGTAGTTAGAGGAGAACAATGTGCATGAACCTCCAAAACAGCCCCTGGGGAGGCTTGCTAGGCAGAGGCACAGCTTGTCAACACGGGGATGTGCTGGGAGTAGCGCTTACAGCCTGACTGCAGTACGGATTGGGAGGAAAGCCTAAAATCAGTCAACTACATTCTGCTCTCTCTAACATTTTAAGATCTAAAAGTCTTCCTAATTCTGCATGAGAATGAAACCAGGCCTGCTGACATCACCTGGGTCTTGCTGGTGAGAGTCCTGGTGTTGCACAGGAAGGAGCATTTGAAACGCCTCGCTGGGTTTAAGAGGTTTTTTGAAATGGGTACGTTCCTGAGCAGGATCTGGTATTTTTGAGTCAGTTGTTTTCTGATGAAAAATAAGACTGATCCTGCAGTAATGCTTCTCTGGGATAATTGCTTGGGCAGCCACCACCCAAAGATGAAAGGTCCTCTTCCCTCCCCACCAAGCAGCCATGTGGGAGAGCTTGGACTCAAGCAGGTTGTGCTCTGCCCTGTGACAGGCACAGGGTAAGTATCAGTAAAGAGAAGGTTAATGATGGCTGTTCTTCCTCTGTGCCAGCTGCTGGTAGTGTTTGAGGGATGGAGGTGGATGTCAGTAGGAGATTATATCAAAGAACCCGGGGTTGACAAGAAGAGTGTGATCACCCTAAGGATGCTGTAGCTGTTCTGCAAGTGAATGGTTGGGACAAGGGGGTTAAGGCCAGTTTGGCCTTGGGATCCCCTGCCTGGAGTAAGGTGGAGAAACTTCCGCAGCCTCCCAAACTGAAGCAACAGCCTTCTCTTTTCCATGAAGTAGCCCTAGCCATGGCTTTAGGATAAATCATTAAAACGTGCACAATCTAGTGCGACCATCATGAGAACAAACAGCAAACCCTTTTTGGCGTGCAAAGACATGAAAGAAC